AAGTCTTGCGAACATTTGATTGGAAACGCAACTATTGAGACCTTCACAGGCCAGATGGATAAAAATTGGATTAAATTACACACAGGTGAACCACATTTACCAATTCGGTAACATTTTCACTCTAATTTTCCTTCTTGTTCACAGCTGTGCTACTGTTTGTTTATCTGCTAAATAAAAACACGTTTGCAAAGTAACAAAATATGAAAATGTCTAAAGACTCAGAATGCTTTTCCAAGTCACTGTATGTGTGCGTGCGTGTCATAAATAGCCCCAAACAGCATGCAACACTTGCCTTAGGTAATTCTTCTCCCTCTCTTTTCAGCCCTGGAACAACAATTAAGAACACAGGATAAAGAAAACAGAAAACTTGAGAACGCCAATAGAGGTATAGAATGAGCCCTGCTGCTGTGTTCTGTTCAGCCTTCCTGTCATCTACTGGAAAAGATCAGTCTCTATTACCTGAACGTGGACGTGTTTCGGAAAATATTCCATTTTAAGCTGCTTCTTATGTGCCAATCTGAAAATGGTCTCTTGTCACTTGGCGTTATAATCACTACAGCTCCTTTCTCACTCAGACTTAAAGCAGCAAACGGAGGAGCTGGAAACGTGCTGCAAAGCCAACACCCACTGTGAAGGTGAGAGGTCAAAAAAACCAAAAAGGACCTGCAGAGAAGATCTACTGTGTTATTTTGTGTTATTCACAGTAAGCTTCTGATAAAACAGACGTGCAGAGGCAGCTACAGCAGAGCCAGGAGGATGCGGATCGTCTCCACCAGCAGCTGCAGGAGAAGGACGCCGCCCTGAGAAAGCTGCAGCACAACTTCGAGCAACAGCAGCGGGAGAAGGAGCGGCTGCAGGAAGACTACAACAGTATGTTCACCTCGGAACTACAGGTTAAACACGAGCTCAGATCAGAACCAGGAAGTCATGCTTTGTTCCTCTCCTCTCAGACGCCGTGGCCAAACTGACCAACGTGGAAGACAGGACCATCTATAACAGTGAGTCACACGCAAGAGTCAGGATTGCTAGGAGAGCAACTAGAAATGCACTGATTGGAGTATTTTGGTCGATAACCGATCTTTAAAAAAAAACCCAGACTTTCCAGTTCCATTGTAATCAAATTTTTTTGGTTTGTTTGTTTGAAAAGTTGCTCAATATAGCAACAAAATCACTAAGTTTACAACAGTGGTGTGGCTGTTGTTAACCACGCACATAAAGATGTGACCGGGTCACCGCAGAACAAAAAGAGACAGCAGCTGCATTTCCATTGATCATATAATTGGGCAAATTGGAATTACGAAAACAAATTTGCTTTATGAAAACACAGCAATTTAAAAAAAAAAAAAAAACTCATGTTTTTTGCTAAAAGGTTTTTGCGTTAGGAGAAGGTGTTTTTTCAGCTACATTAAAATTAGTGTATTTAGTAAAATTGCAAATTCGCATCACACCAGCATCAACAACCAGATGTTAGCACTGACGGAAAAGATGAAGGAGACGGCAGGAAGTGGTAGGAGGGTGATGGCACGGCATGTTTTTTGTTTTGTTTTAATGACTTATCACGTGAACAGACATATTCCCGTGTGATTTTAATTGTGTTTCATATTTAATGGAAACAGAGCAATTGCGAAAATGTGTATTTTGACATGAGCCTAATATCGACAGAGTTTTGTGCACCTTTGTAATGGAAACATAACTACTGGCTAATTTTCAGACCTTTGTGTCAGTAGATAATATCGGTGGAAAGATCAGTTTCACACCAGTCACCCAAACTTAAAGAAATCAGTGCCACCCTAAAAGTAACACACAGACACCGTGTATTCTGCATGTTTAAACTTTTTTTAAAAAAATGTAACAAACACACAATCTGCATTTCTCCCTTTTCCAGCAAAGATCACCTGGGATCCAAACACGGCACATCCCAGATTAGTTTTCTTTAACGACAACACCGAGGTATCCACCACCAACGACGTACCCCAGTTCCAGGACAACCCCGGCAGGTTCGACGTGGTTCTCGGCGTTCTGGGCTCAACCGGCTTCTCGAGAGGCCGCCATTACTGGGAGGTGTCCGTAGCTGAAAAACTTTGCTACCACATCGGGATGGTCAGCGAATCGGCCAAGAGGAAAGGATCGTTGTCCTTCAGGCCCGCGAAGGGTTTCTGGACCATTGTCCTGAACAAACAGAATGAGCTCAAAGCGATTGACAGGACATCGGTAACCCTTCAGGTTGAGAGGCTGCCCATTACTCTGGGCATCCTGCTGGACTACAACAAGGGACAGGTGTCCTTCTACGACTCTGGCGCCAGATCTCATCTGTACTCGTTCTCAGGTCAAGAGTTTACCGACAGAATCTTCCCGTTTCTCAACTACTGCGTTGAGGATGTCGAAAATCCTCAGCCAATAGTTTTACTGCCTCCAGGATCAACTGACTGGATTAATTAAGCAACACAATAAGTCAGGTTTTGGCACATTTGTCCAAAAGTCACATGATTTAATAATCAAATATTTTATTGTCTTTATGAATGATTTTGATTCAATAAATCAACAAACATAAAGTGTTTATTGACCTATGACTGTCATCTTCTAGGTGTAATAAACATCAACTGCAACCTGTGTAGTTTTATTGAAACTCAACCGTTCAACTTCATAAAACAAAGCATGTTTTTATTGTAAACATGTTGGCATTGAGGAACATTACAAATCTCTGTAGAAAAAAACCCATTCACGTCAAATGATCACAAAGGATTTCATCACAGTTTAAACAATTACATGGGTTTGAAAAAGAACAGCAAAAAAACAAAAAAAAACAAAAACAGAGTTCCTACAGGGTCTGGAAAAGCAGAGACGCACCAGTCAATCAACCGCAGATCGGAATCACAAAGTTTTATAACAAGTGATCGGAGTGTCTGCTGCCAGAAAAACCTGACACGCCGATCACCAAAAAAAAAAAAAAAAAAAAAACTGTAGAAACTGCTGTTAAAGTGTTTTTTTTTTAAGTTGTACATCTGTCTTTTCTCTACATCCAGTCTTCTGTTGAATAATCTCTCTGTCCAGCCATCAATCCATCCATCCATCAGCTCCCTTGTGGTGTTTCAAGGTTTCATCTTTAACATCTGAACACTGTACGAACATCTGATGTAAAATCATCCAAAAACCTTTCTATTGTTTCTTAAATACGGGGCAAAAATTGACTGAGAAATCTGAGTATCTGAGACTGGAAAAGCGTGGACCTTCTATGTAAGAAGTGTGTAGGAAATCTAAGGAATGCAGTATCTGCATGCATGTCCTCTGATGCAGACTTCTGCTCAGTCTCTTCCTGCAGTGCCAGCTACACTCCTGTAGAAGTGGGCGACAAACATGGGGTCCTTCTCCTCCAGCATGTGCAGGAAATGATTCCTCTCCTCTTCCCCCCAGGACTCAAACCACTGGGTCCACAGCCGGAGTTGGCATTCAAAGATGTTGGGGAGTTTGTCTTTGACCTGTCACAAAGCAGTAGTTAAGATTTTTATTTTTTAAAGTGTCATCTCAAGAAATGCATGTTCACCTGTAACAGAGCAGAGAGTACCTGAAGGGTGCTGAGTGAGTCTAGGAGAGTGCACACTTTCCCCGGCACGGCTTTGCCAACAAGATCCTGCAGGAACCTCTCCTTCTGGGGGTCATTCCAGCCTTGGAACCAGCTCAGGACACATCGCTGCTCCTGGAAGGTCACATAGGAGATGGGCTCTGGTTGTCTGTCTTGACCGGCGCAGGACAGGTTCTCCAGGCTGGGAGGGCTGGCTGCAGCCTGAGGAGCTGATGGCAGGTCAAACTGGCCTGGAGAAGGCAGGCCAGCCCCGCTGTTGCTCTGGGTAGCAGGGGTCGCTGCTCCTGCTGGTACACTAGTGGGATTATAGGGACTGCCGAGGATATTCGGGGCTGTAAATTGCTGGCCATCAGCGGCCTGCCGCTGGTATGGACCTTGACTGACCTGACTGAACCACGACATTTCTCAGAAAGTGTTTTCAACCAGAAAAAAGTTTGCTGGAGTTTGAAACGCCAGCGGCGGAGAAACCCTCCCGGGTTTGTTTACATGCGGTTTAAGCAAGACCGCCGCTCGAGCGTTAATTCAAAGCTAGCATCACTTAATACCAGCTGTTCAAATTACAAAAACCGGCTTAATTTGAAGTTAAACTACGTCATTTTGCTCATATTTAGATACCTGTTATGTCTACTTAGCAGCAGTCGTGTAGCTGCAAAAATACACAGGAAACGGAAACAGTTTAAAACCTCTTTCTGTACGGAAGTGAAGATTGCGCAGGATTTGCGCAAAATGTTGTCTATAGTTACAAAAAGTAAAACATTGATATAGATTTATAACATATATGTACACAAATTTGAAGTGCATAATGTGAATTGTGTGTTCTGTAAACTTAATTTTTCTTTTAGTTATTTTAATATTTATGAGAGGTGTTGTGTCTAAATGGGTTTCACCATCTAAATGCGCATTCTTACTGTCACAAGCTTACGGCAACAGGCTATATACGTCATGGTGCATTCAAGTACACTTCGTACTAGAAATCATCTGTTTTGAAAGAGGCTTACAATTATTTTATCACATTCTTTTTTTAATCAAATATCAAAACAACCCTTTTCAGTACCAGATATTGCAAAAGACCGTATCAGGTCCTGAGGACAAATTTAATTTTGGGCTTCGCCTCCAGTTAAGGTGCTAAAAGGGAGATCAGTACAATACCACTGACCTCCATTTTATATGTTAAATATTTTCATAAGTTAGGCGGATACCATGATAGTAAACATACCACGCTCTCTTTTTAGGAGTTTTCAGAATTATGATGTGTGTCTAATTTGTCAACGAGAAAATCACATTAATTTCGAAGTCATTCCGAGATTTACAGTTTCATGTACGACTCGACTTAAATGCACCACGGATTTCAACGCTGCTGTAAAACGCTGTGCAGGGGCGCATCTTGACGGGGGACCGTGACTCTTCACAACACCAGGAAGTGAGCGGCGGTGACGCAGGGTGGAGGAAGGCGGCGCTCGGCGAACTAGTTGGGAACTGACTAGAGGAACGGAAAATGGCGGACCTCGAAGACGTTACGCTGGACGGGAGACCGCTCCAGTCCCTCCGTGTGGCGGACCTCAAAGCGGCTCTGGAGGAGAGGGGGCTGTCGAAAAGCGGACAGAAGAATGCTCTCATTAAAAGACTTAAAGGGGTAAGGTTTACAGCGAAACGCAGTGCCGCTGGTGAATCCCTAGCTAGCGTCAACGATGAGACGGGCTGATGCTCTCCGTAGAGGGCCGATAACTGAGTGTCGTTACTGCCGAGCGTAGTGGAGTTATCGAGGCTGAGCCCAGCTGTTAAATGTCTGCTTGTTCCGCATACTTGCTTGTTGCGGTTCTGTCTGCACAGCCTTGCCGATCTCAATGTGTGCACTGTAGTTCATCCAACTTATTAGCCAACGCTAAACTGTTTGTTGGTGTAATGTTGTGCAGTTAGCCTGTTAGCTTCCCCCTGCTAACGCAGTGAAATGAGCGGTGGCCTGAGCTGCTGGCTCGCTTCTGTGTCCACTACAAAATAAACCCGGTTAGGGTGCTGGGGTGCGCTCCCCGTGAGTCTTGTTTGCGCCACTTTGTTTACATTTCGACATTTTCCGCCATGAAACTTGGCGTCAGTCTCTGTCCCGTCAAACACCGCGGTGTGTGTACAATGTACCCGCTGAAATGCAGTAAATAATAAAGTGGTACACAAATGTCAGCGGCTCGTTTGACTTTTTTATTTTTCCTTTTTTGAATGTAATCGGCGCTTATTGACAACTGCATATTTTATTATGTTTACTTTAGGGCTTTATATCACTTGTTGCTACATTATGTCATTTTTTTGTTGCTAAGAATCTTATGGTTGCGAAGTTGTAAAAAAAAATACTGTTTGACATTTATCAGATATTAGTTTGTATGTATTTATTTGTGTTCATATACCAGGGTGAATAATACCTTGATTATTCAGTTAGGTTACTTTTTATATTGTGCATGTGGTTCATTATTATAGTATCAGAGAGCTCAATAATAATGGTTATGATTAAGTGTCATTGTGAAAATTTGCCCGTAGGTTGACAGTTGCCACATTTGTTTGGGTTGGGTCGGGTCCCATTACCTAAACCCAGCTTACTTGCTTCTGATAAGAAAACGTTAAGTATCAACAGGTTTTCTGGTTGCTTACTGCACTTAGATTTATCTATAAAGACCATCAGATTGCAAAAACAGCTCCAGATTTTTTGGAGGGATTATATGTGACATTCAAACACAAACCTGAGCATAGTTGTAAAGTGAAATAAAAATAATATTATTGTTTTCTTTTTACATTCTTTTCTTTTACAAAATAAAAAAATATATATTTGAAAAGTGTTATGTGCATGGTTTATGTCACTGAGCATCGTTCAGTCAATCTTCCCAAAATGAAAGCAGTATTGCACATTAAGACACGACCTTGCACTTGGTCAGATGAGGGCAAAACTAAACTGTTTGGCTTATATTTAAAAAGCATTCTTGTCAGAAAAATAAAAAGCATAACAATACACATCAATCTGAACACATTACCACATAAGTGGCCCATTTTCAGATTTTAGTTTGTTAAAAAAAATCATTCTCTTCATTTACTTAATTGCACTCATTTAAGTAGATTTATCATATAATATGCCTGTAGGATTCTTGAAAAAAAATGTGGGTTTTAATTTGGTTACATGTTAAATAGTGAGATTAATTTTTTTTTGCTAGTTGCATTCCGTATGCTCATCCCTTTTATTAATTGTAAAACATTAACTAACACAGCCTGTTGTGTATATCTCCACAACAGGCTCTCATGCTGGAGAATTTGCAGAAGACCTCCACTCCGCATGTCGGACTGCAGCCCAACTCTCAGGTAAATCTCAGAGGTGCTTTTATTGTCATTTCAAAGGCTGGGAGTCTTTTTAAGCGACAATCTCTGATCTATAAATAACCAAATGTGTTTTAACACACCACTTCTTTATATGTCTGCAAAAGTACGTTTGGTTGCCCCTGCGGGACTGCGCTTGATCATTTTTCATTTGTAATATCATATCTATATTTAGATTGGCGAGGAAATGAGCCAGAACAGTTTTATCAAGCAGTATCTGGCTAAGCAACAAGAGCTCCTGAGGCAGCGTCTGGAGAGAGAGGCCCGTGAAGCGTATGAAACGAACGGTGAGTGCTGCTAGAGAACCGTCCACTGCTATTATTTATGACTCGCCTCGTTGGTCTGTTTGAAAGTTTGTCATTCTCTGTTTGTGAGCAGAGCAAGAGGGCCACACACAGGTTAACAACAGTACATCGTGCCCTCCTCCTGCCCAGGTTAGTAAGCTGCTTTTTCCTTCCTTCCTTTCTTCTTCTTTTTTTTTTTTTTTTTGCATGTCTTTTATTATTTTTATCATTCCTTTCCCCACTAAAGGGACTTTTTTGGTTGTATGAGAAAATTTGTAGTGCCATGTACAGATATGCGCCTTAAATTCGTGACGTTATGATCATGAACTGCAACGCAGGAGAGGGATTTTAGGATATGCTACCACATATTTGTGCACAATTATGAAGTAGACAAAAAAAAAAAGAAAAATGTTTTTCAATTGAAAACTGAAAAATGTGGTGTCTGTTTATATTCAGTACTCTGAATAACTAGCGGTTTGGGGTGTATCCCTACCAGCTTCGCTTATCTAGGTGCTGATATTTTTGCCCATTGTTGCATTCAGATTGGCTTAAGCTGAAAAATAAAATACATTGAGAGTGCCTGGAAATAACAAATATTTTAAGGCTTGCCACACATTTCTTAATTGGAATTGGTCTGAATGTTGACCGGTTCAGTCTCACACATGAACGTGCTTTCATCTGGACCTGTACAGAGTATGTTCTGGTGTGTGCCGAGTTGTTCTGCTAGAACAGGAACCTCCACCCTCGTCTGAAGTTTTTTTCCGTAGTTCCTAACAGGTTTCTTCTGTATTAAAATCCTTGTCAATTTCATCAAATCTAGACCAGTTTTCTCCTCCATATGGGACAACAGCACAAAGGGAAATGCGTGCTCAGATTGCTGTGCAGCATTAGTTTTCCATAATGCACTTTGCATATTAGCCAAAAACTTAAATTTTAGTTTCATCTGCGCATGTCACCATTTTCCAGATGTTTGCTGTGTCTACTTATCTTGCGGCAAATGTTAAATAGGACCTCTTGTGGCTTTATTTTTTCCAGTCTTTCATAAGGGTCACATATGTGGATTAAATAAGTAATATCAGTCCTATTATCAGACTTTTCCATCGGAGCTCTGGGTCTGTAGAGATAACATTGACTTCTCGTTTGCTTCTCTGATCAATGCTCTCATTGTACAGCCTGTTTATGTAGTTGCACGGCCTTGTCTTGGATTTTCAGATGAGGGATTAATCTGTATAAAATGTTCAGCACTTGGGATGCTGTTTTATTACCTTAACTAGGATTTAAACTTCTTCAAAACTTTCTTCCTGTCTGCCATCTTCCTTGCTCTTCACAATATTGTCAACTCTAAACTAGGGCTGGACAATATGGCCGAAATCAGTCTGATGATGAGCATTTTATATCAGCCTTTTGATAATTATTGATTCGTTTTTTTTTTTTTGTTTGTTTGTTTTAAATATGTTAAATACAGCCAAAATGGTGTCCTGGTCTTTCCTGATTTATCCACAGTCATCACTTCACGTTGTTGTTTTTTATTTTTAAGCAGTTATGAGGCACAGTAACAAGTTACTCAACAGGTTGTTGCTAGGTAACCAAAAAGTGAGTGACGTATTTGGTGCCATCCACGTTAGTTGTGAGAGGTTGAGCAGCTAAAGTCTTTCCTCTGCCTACATCCCCCAGAATGCTGTGCAGTTCAGTGAATATTCTATATATTGCATATTCTATCCAACACACTAACTATGTATATGTATATCATGTGTCTGTTGTGACACATCCATCCATCCATCCATCCATCCATTTATTTATTTATTTATTTATTTTCTGTACACCCTTGTCCCTTAGAGGGGTCTGGAGGGTTGCTGGTGCCAATCTCCAGCTAACGTATTGTTTGATTTATTGTCTATATCAAACCTTTGAGGCCTTTGCAGAACAGCTGGATTTATACTCAGCTGAAGGCACAGAGATTACTTCTGTTCACTAACAAGGGAGTTTTGAAGTCAGACTGTTTCACCGGTTTTTGTTTGGGGGTGTTACAGTAAAAGAGGTCTGACTGCATTTTAATGCCACAATCTCAAGATTTTTGATTTGTTAAAAAAAAGGTTAAAATCATGGATAATTTACTTTACACTCCAGTTATTGATTAAATGAATAACAATACAACTAAGTCTGTGGAAATACCAATTTAGTCACTATTTTTCTAAGAGAGGTTATCATAATTCATTTCGTTGCTCATCAGGAAGTCACACCAGCTGCTCAACATAAGCCCCCTGGGCCCTCGGATGGAGAGGGATTCTTTGGTTCGGTCAATGCAGGACAGGGGAACAGGAACCAGGAGGCAGACGTGTCCAGCCCCCCTGCTTCCGGCTCCATGGCTATGCGAGCTCCTGCCTCAGAGCAGCGGTCAGAGCGAGGTTCTGCCTCCAGCGAGGTTGCAGGCGACAGCGACGACGACGACAGCGAGGAGGATGGCGACGATGACGAAGACTGGGGCAGCAGCGCCCCGAGAAGAAGCCTCCGAGAGCCGGCCAGAGTGCCCGCGGCGCGGTCCGGTGCAGCACGCCACCCACAGCCCCAGCAGCAGCACATCCCCCCTCTTTTGTCTCCTCAGCTCCGGCAGCCAACGCCTCCTCCTTCCCCTCCTCCAGAGTTATCGTTCCCCTTACCTGACACCCCCAAACAGAGCCCACCGAGTCCCCCTGTTGCCGCGGCCAGGCACTCGCCCAGCTCCTCCAGCTCCGGCTCGTCCAGCAGCGGCAGTCGCAGCAGCAGCCCAGAGCCGCAGAGAAGTGCCGACCGTAAACCCGGTCCGCTTACCCTTCTGGCACGTAAAATGGAGTCCGAGGGTGCCTTCTCCGGAGGAGGCTGGCATGGCCCTGATGGCGAAGGTGACAGGCAAGACAGCGGTTCAGCTTCACTTATGGCTTTTCCTGGCAAAGGGCCTCTGGATGGTTTGGGGTCCGCCGGAGTGATTCCAGGCACACATTCAGCCCACATCCAACTATCTGGGGGTATACGCAAGGCTGCTGTAGCGGAGGAAAGAGAGAGGGAGCGGGTGATTGAGATGGAAAGACAAGAAAAGCAAAGACAACTTGAGCGGGCAGCAGAGGAAGAACGACAAAGAGCCATCGCACTGGAACGGGAGAGAGAGAGGATTGAGCACCAGCAAGCTTTAGAAAGAGAGGAGAGAGAAAAACGAGAGCGAGAGCTTGCTCTTGAAAAAGCGAGACGAGAGAGGGAAGAAGCTTTGGCTAGAGAGAGGGAGGAACGAGAGAGGGCAATGGAGCTAGAGCGGCAAAAAGAGCTTGAAAGACAGAGAGCTTTGGAGGAAGAACGTCTGCTGAAAGAGAGGAAGGAGAAGGAGAAACGGGAGAGAGAGGAAATGGAGAGGGCAATGGAGCGAGAAAGAGCCAAGGAGAGAGAACGGCTAGAGAGAGAGAGAGCTCTGGAGGCTGAGCGAAGGGAGAAGGAAAGACTTGAGAGAGAGAGAGCTCTGGAGCAGGAAAGACTGGAGAGGGAAAGGATAGAAAGAGAGAGAGCTCTGGAGAAGGAGAGATTGGAAAAAGAAAGACTTGAGAGAGAGAAAGCCCTGGAGAAGGAGAGATTGGAAAAAGAAAGAATTGAGAGAGAGAAAGCCCTGGAGAAGGAGAGATTGGAAAAAGAAAGGATAGAGAGAGAGAAAGCTCTGGAGCAGGAGCGATTAGAAAAAGAGAGAATAGAAAGAGAGAAAGCTCTAGAGCAGGAGAGATTGGAAAAAGAGAGGATAGAAAGAGAAAAAGCTTTAGAGCAGGAACGATTGGAAAAGGAAAGAATAGAAAGAGAGAAGGCTCTGGAG